GGCATGGACACGTCAGTTCGGGGGCGGGGGGGGGGGGTTGCCCAGTGAGAATGCCTGCATGCGCATCCCGCAGGGCTTCCCTCCGCGACACCGACAGTCAGGTTGTCCGGGCACAAGTCCACATGCGAGGGGCGACCAAACCCTGCTGTTTGCCCCTCTCCTCACCCGCGGACCCAACCGCCAGCTCCGGTTCTGCGGTGGCCGCCACCAGCGCCGCCTCCAGCACGCCGCCCCCGAGATCCAGGCGCCCCCCCGCCTGCCGGTACTCCTGGTACAGATCCAAAACCGCCGCGTGCAGCCCCGCGGCGGAGCACAGCAGCAGCGCCAGCCGCCGCGCTGCGGCCTCCGCGTCCCTGCCGCCGGCGCCCTCCGGCAGCTGGAACCAGTGGCCTGGAGCGTCTGCAGCAGCGGCGGCGCAGGAGGCTGCGAGCTCAAGCCGTGCCTCGGCTGCGGCGTGTGCGACCTCCTCCCAGCCGGCCGCGAGACGCAGCTGCTCACGTTCCGCGTCCTCCTGCCCCGCTGCCGCGGCAGCGGCAGCGCGGGCAGAGGCTGCGTAGGCTGTGCGCACGGCAAAGCCGGCGTCGTGCACTGCAGCCGAAGACAGAGCGCACTGCAGCGCCCGACCCAGCGCCGCGGCGCGCCCGCCGCCCGCTTCCTCAGCCTCCCTCGTCGCGCCCGTGAGCGCCGCCTGTGCCCCTGCAACCAGGCTCTCGTGCGCAATCAGCGACAAGAGCTCACTGGCCGCGGCCTGCCCCTCCCCACTTGCTGTGCACCCCTGCAGCACCCGCGCCCACGTCTGCGGCGGAAGCTGGTGGCCGCCGTCCCTGATCGCTGACGCTGACGCCAGCGCTGTCGCGCGGCCGAGGTCGCCGGCAAAAACGTGAGCCAGGAGGTATGAGGAGAGTGCATCGTCGCTCAGCGCCAGGGCGGCCGCAGGGCCGTCTGGCCCGCCTGTGGAGCGGGCCAAAAGGCCAAGCAGGCGCCGCGCATCCGCCTCCGCGCCTGCCGTGTGCGCCGCCGCCTCCGCCGCGCTCTGCAGGACGGCCGTTGGTGGCGGGGCAGCAGCGGCGGGCAGCGCACCCCACGCGTCCGTGAGCGCGGCGAGGGCGTTGGCGCCTTGATTGGTGTGGGGGCCGCCGGTGGCAGCCACCAGCGCCCATGCGCGCTCGTGCTTGCCCTGCTGGGCCAAGGCCGCCAGCACTCCATTGACAGTTGCCGCCTCTAACCGACCGACGGCCGCTGCGTCGCCGCCGGCCGCGTGGCAGAGGCAGTCAAACGCCTCGACGAGCGCCGCGGCCGGCGGCCCCGGCGCCGCCGACGAGGCACGCGCCTCGGCCGCCATAAGAGATGCGATCAGCGCCGCCGCGGCGCTGGCCGGCAGCGGCACCGGCACCCCTGGCAGCGGCAGGTGCCGCGTGCCGGGCGATGGCTCGAGCACCCCCGTGCTCGTCAGGCGTAACAGGCGCAGCGCCGAAGCATCATCGCCCTGCTGCGAGGAGGCGAGCGCCAGCGAACCCAGAATCTCGCTCAGGGCCTCGCCAGCCAGCTGCCCGCCGCGCCAGGCGGTTCGCAGCAGCTGCAAACTGAGCTCCTGCCGCCCAACGTCGCCCGCAGCCCTGACAAGACTTGCAGCCAGCACCGCGCCGCCGGCGCCGCGGCGGCGGATCAGCCGTGCCAGCGGCGCCAGGTGGGGCGCGGCGCGGATCAGAGCCTGCGCCGCTTCTTGGGAGGGGTGGCGGCCGAGCGGCTCGTATGCGTGCGCGATGATGATCGCCCGCGCCGCCCTCTGGCTGCCCTGACCTGGCACCTCCTCCTGCTCCCTCTGGCTGCCTGCCAAGAGCTTAGTCAACTCGTCGTCCAGCTGGCCCGCAACCGTCGCACACAACTCCTCGTCGCCCCACCCTGCAACCGCCGCCGTCGCATCTGCAAGCGCCTGCCGCGCCGCGTCGAGGTCCCCGCTGGAGCCGCGCCCGCCGGCCATGCGGCACGCCTTCCTCATGATGTGGTACGCCGTGCGCGGCAGCGGCCCGGGCAGCAGGGGCAGGAGGCGCAGGGCGGCGGAATGGCTCGTGTTGCCGCGGTCGCCGCTGCCCGCGCTTGCTAGCAGGCTGCCCACTTCTATCAGCAGGGTCATGACGGCCTCGTCGAGCGCCTGCATCTCCTCCCGCTGGTCCCGCTGGTCCCCCCACACGCCGACGCCCCGCCCAAACTCCAGAACCAAGCCCTCCAGCGCAGCTGCGTCCCCTGCAGCTGCCAGCCGAGGAGCCCAGAATTTGAGGGTGGAGCGGCGCAGATTGGACAGCCACATGCCGGGGCCGGGGCCGCGGCTACGGCTGCGGGCAGTGAGGAGGGCTGTAGGGGCGCGGCGGAAGAGCGCCTGGGCGGGAATGGAGGTTGGCGTGTCGCGTGTGAGTTGACAGCAGAGTTTTGGGTTTAAAGGGCGCGGGTGAGTTGGCGCCCGAGGCTCCAAAAGTGGGGGTAGTGCTGTTGGCGTGTGCGCTGCTCCAAGCGTGTGGCATTGCCCTGCAGCGGCGCTGCATTTTGATGCTGTGTGCATCGTCCAGCCTTGGCTTGAAGCCGGGTCAAGCGCATGCGCACCAAGGCCACGTCCAAGCTCCCCTCCAGCGAGGATTGGTGCTCCTGCGCCGCCCCGGGGTAGTCAGTCGTGCTGAGCGGCCCACGCTCGTAGAGCGCCGCCGTTGCCTCAAAAGGCTCCGGCAGCGTCGCCCAGCGCGCGGGCAGCAGCGCCACCGACAGATCCAGCAGCGCGCGGCACCGCGCCGCCTCGGCCTCGGACAGCCGGCCCTTCGCGTCTGCGGCCGCAACGGCCGCCGCCAGCCGCGCGCAGCGGGCCGACACCTCATTGAGCGGCGCGTCTTCGCAAGCGGCGAATGCGCCCGCGCATCGCAGAGACAGCAGCTCGCCCTCTGACAGCGCCGCCGCGGCGCCGACTGCGTGCGCGCCAGTTGCAGGGCTGCATGCGGCTGCCGCTGCGGCGGCCGGTGCCAGGTCAGCAAGCAGTTTCGCCGGCAGTGCGCCGTTGGCAACCGCGCCCCTTCGCACCACCTCGGCCATCAGCACCGCCTCGAAGAGATCGAGGTCCAGCCACATCCGCGCCTTGCCGGCCGCGCAGGGCGAAGCGTGGCCCAGGCGCGAGGTGACCATGGCCAGTGCGTGCCTCACTTTGAAGCCGCCGGTGGTCACGGGAAACCCTGCAAACTCGCTGTCCGCAGCGTGCTCGGCAGCGGTCTGTCGCAGAATTACAGGCAGCCGCTCACGGCCGTCGCCAAAGCACGTTTTGAGGAGCGGCAGCAGCCTTGGCGGCACGCCCGCCTCAAGGCGCGAGCGCGGCTCCAGGACCCAGCTGCGGGCGGGGCGCGGGGTGCAAATGCAAGGTAGCGCGCGCGGGCGCGTGGGCTCGGGTGCGTGCTCGATCCGACAAGAGGGCCCTCGTGGCCATCATCACCGCAGCCGCGCGTTGTGAGTACTGCGAGACACGCATGATGGGCCGCCGGGGCGCCGCTGCAATAATTGCAACAGCAAACCACAGTGGTGGATGCAAGGAGACACGACCCGCGACGAACGAAATCAATCTTGGTCCTGGTGGCTGCACGGGTGCACACCTGTGCTTGTCCTGAGGCACGGGGGATGAGTGCGCCGTCGGCAGCAGCAGCCGCTGAGCCAGCTTGCCGGAGGTGCCGACGCGCTGCTCGATCTCCACCTGCGCCGTGATGTACTGCCACCTGCAGGCAGGGCAGGGCAGGGCAGGATTAGGATTAGGATTAGGATTG